GCTGATTTTTTGATTTTATTGTAGAGATGAGGTCTCGCCTGCCCAGGCGGGTCTTGAACACCCGGGCTCAGGCAATCCACTCACCTCAGCCTCCCAAAGACACGGGATTACAGGCTGAGCCACCGAGCCTGGCTATTCTATACATATTATAGTAGAAATTTTTCTCCAGCAAATTAATAGGACAGCTAAACTCATAAGTCAGTATTGCCAAATTTAGGCTGCCAAACAACCAGTCTAAGCAGATATGTCTAAAAACAAAATAGTCCTGTGGGTGCGTGTGGTGGCTCACACCTGTAATTCTGGCACTTTGAGAGGCGAAGGTGAGAGGATTGCTTGAGCCCAGGAGTTGGAGACCAGCCTAGGCAGCATAGTAAGACCTTATCTCCAAAAGTAAAATAAAAAAATTAGCTGGGTGTGGTGGTGTATGTCTGTAGTCCTAGCGACTGGGGAGGCTGAAGCAGGAGGATTGCTTGAGCACAGGAGGTTAAAGCTTTGGTGAGCTGTTCTTGTGCAGTGTACTGCTCTCCAGCCTGGGTAACAGAGTGAGACCACAACTCAAAAAAAAAAGAAAGAGAGAAAGAAAAGAAAAATAACTCTTGGTTATGTAAGTTGGGGAAACCAAGTATATGGAGATGTTATGATGCACTTTATTCTGTTAAAGGATCTGAGAAATCTTCAAGTCACAAATCGCAAATCTACATTTATGTTAGCTGTGTTCAATCCAGTGTTTCCTAAATGTAATTTTTCATGGAGCTATTTTTTCATGTGACATTTACTTAGAACATTCTTTAGAAAATGTTGGTGTAGGGCCATTGCCTTACTAGACTCTGGTGTGACTATATGCTCGTGGAGCTATGGCCACCCGCCCCTACCTTGGGGATGTGAATCTCCTCTTTCTCGTGCTCTAATTTACTTTCTAAATAAACTATATTTTCTAATCTTTAAAAAAAAAGAAAAAAAAGTTGGTCTAAATCCATTCTTTTATTTCTGATCTTTATGTGATTATATTGATTTTTATCTGAGATGAAATATAGAACTGTCTTACTATTATGTTAAATTAAAAATTTCAATACAGCCGGGCTCGGTGGCTCAGCCTGTAATCCCACGCCTTTGGGAGGCTGAGGTGAG